TATATATGTGTGTGTGTGTGTGTGTGTGTGTGTATAAGCTTATTTTAATGTTTCTTCAAAAACCATTTAAATTTATTACACATAAAACATTACTTGCTTCTTAGACTGTGAATATAGATACTGCAACAGGCCGATACCTTTTGCTCCCACATTAACATTGTGGCATTTTGGCACTTTCCTTGAACCGTGGTTAATTTCTGACCCTGGCTAAGTTCAAAAGTGATCACAGACATGCGAGATGGTTTAAAGAGGGTGCATGAAATTCCCTGGGAGGTACTTTATTTGAGCAGGCTGCCTAAGTGCTATCGTGGAGCTCATCAGCCGATAGCCTCCCATATGCCAGCGCCTCCTCTGGGCCTTCACTGACAAGATAAGATAAGTCAATTGTTCACCTAATCGATCAGGTATATCAGCACTGACCCGAAGGCTGTCGGTCAAAGGCTCTGGCCTGGTCTGTAGCCGGTCATGCTGGAGAACTGTCCGGCAAGTGTGGGTGAGTTTGTGTTACAGTTACAATATCAGACCAACTCTGAATACACTATTATTAAAAAGTTTGGGGTCGGTTAGGTTTTTCTGTGTGTCTCATATTCACCAAGGCTGCATTTTTTTTTAGAGATGTATAAACAAATAAATGTCAAAAATACAGTAAAAAGCAGTAATAACGTTAAATAACCGTTTTCTATTTGAATACATTTTATAATGTAATTTATCCCAGTGATGCAAAGCTAATTTTCAGCATAATTACTGCAGTCTTCAGTGTCATATGATCCTTCAGAAATCATTCTGATATGCTGATTTGCTGCTCAAGAAACATTTCTGATTATTATCAATGTTGAAAACAGTTGTGCTGCTTAATATTTTTGTGCAAACCATACATTTGTTTTCCAGGAATCTTTGATGAATAGAAAGTTCAAAGAACAGAATTTATTGGAAACAGAAATATCCTGTAACATAAATGTCTGATGGATTCAATGCATAATTGCTAAATAAAAGTATTAATTTCTTTAAAAAAATACTGATTGACTTTTCAAAGTAATGCATTACATATATCAGTACAGTAAGTACATAAAAAAATATTAACTCGGATAATATTCACTACCAGTCAAAAGATTTTGGACAGTAAGTTTTTTTAAAGAAATTCTCTTCTGCTCACCAAGCCTGCATTTATTTGATCCAACATACAGCAAAAACAGCAATATTTTGAAATATTTTTACTATTTAAAATAACTGTTTTCTATTTGAAAATATTTTAAAATGTAATTTATTCCTGTGATTTCAAAGCTGAATTATTAGCATCATTACTCCAGTCTTCAGTGTCACATGAATCTTCAGAAATCATAATATTCTGATTTGCTGCTAAAAAAAACCAAAAACATTTATTATTATTATTATTAATATGTTGAAAACAGCTGAGTAGATTTTTTTTCCCAGGTTTCTTTGATGAATAGAAAGTTTAAAATATTTTCAAACAGAAACCAGTTATTATTATATTACTGCTTTTGCTGTATTTTGGATCAAATAAATGCAGGCTTGGTGAGCAGAAGAGACTTATTTAAAAAACATTAAAAATCTTAATGTCCAAAAACTTTTGACTGGTAATGTAGTTTAAATTAAAAAAAATACTATATTTGACCTGTTACTTCAGATTATTTCACATGCAACTCAATAACCCCAGAACACAACCCACAATTATTTCTGCATACTTCATAATCTTGTGCATTGTGAGAAACTGTACAGTCATGTGATCACTATTTGTATCTTTGTTTTTTTTCAGTAAGTTTGCATGCTGCATTTCTTACAGTCAGCAGCAGCGGTTTGTTTTGGAGGCATGCAGTCTTGCGTTCTGTAAAATCCCATTTTACACTACAGGCCTCCTCTAATCAATAAGCCTTCGGGGTCTGCTTTATCAATGTGTTTGGTATTCCAACGCTATGCTCTTTTCACATGACTGACTCCATGCATAATCGACTACTGGTAAAACACAGTCACTGAGCTTTTATTTTTTTATTCTGGCACCCTTCATCCCTGTCCAAGAGCCATCTTAATGTCCAAAAACTTTTGACTGGTAATGTAGTTTAAATAAAAAAAAATACTATATTTGACCTGTTACTTCAGACTATTTCACATGCTCAATAACTCAATAACCCCAGAACACAACCCACAATTATTTCTGCATACTTCATAATCTTGTGCATTGTGAGAAACTGTACAGTCATGTGATCACTATTTGTATCTTTGTTTTTTTTCAGGAAGTTTGCATGCTGCATTTCTTACAGTCAGCAGCAGCGGTTTGTTTTGGAGGCATGCAGTCTTGCGTTCTGTAAAATCCCATTTTACACTACAGGCCTCCTGCTCTAATCAATAAGCCTTCGGGGTCTGCTTTATCAATGTGTTTGGTATTCCAACGCTATGCTCTTTTCACATGACTGACTCCATGCATAATCGACTACTGGTAAAACACAGTCACTGAGCTTTTATTTTTTTATTCTGGCACCCTTCATCCCTGTCCAAGAGCCTTGTGGACATGAATGAAAAGAAGCAATTAAATTTTACTTGGAGGCACAAAGCACAAGGGCGTGCATTACATTTGTATGCGTGTGAGTTTATTTCTGCATGTACATAAAAAAGATGACTGTCACTCCATCTTTTTATTATTAATAAACCTATTACAATATCTTTACATATGGCACTTTTTACATGCTAATAAATCATTTTTAAATGAAAGTGTCCAATGTTTAAGAGCATCACCCAGTCAAGATGAACTGTTTGTTCATGTTTGCATATATTCACTTACTGTATGAACATAATTAAAATGATCATGAATAATCACTTTACTTATTAATGTGCATGCAATGCAGTTAGTGTATAACATATGATCTTTTTCTTTCATGCACAGTCAAACCCAGGTTTTAATCGCTGCACAAGTGCCAGAGGAAGCTGACAGGATCCTCCGATTAGTAAAATAACCATTTAGAATTGCTATTCAAATGATGAAATATAATTTATTTCCATCCAAAATGCTTGCACAACGGGGAGAATAAATTAAATTTGCACAATATTTACTAGGGCTGTGCGATATTGAAGAAAAATGCGATATGCGATAACTCATTAAATAATGCAATATTCGATATGCGATACGATAATGCTTAAAGTGCCACATGCTCAGATGAAACAGTTTTACTCAGCTGTTGCTGAGTCAGTTCTGTGAACTTCTATAACTATCTTGTGTCATATATATATGGTTATTTGTATGTATGTATGTACCAAGAGTTCCTGTAAAACTACAACAAATTTCTTGTGTTTGCGCACACTTAAGTGGTGAATAAAGCTCATTCTGATTCTGATTCTAATAAGAAAGCACCCTTTTCTCTTTGTCTTTTGTTCATGGCCCCAAATATTGCAAGCTGTAGCGATATGCATATTGCGATATGTACATTTGCGATATTTCGATAATTTCGATATATTGAACAGCCCTAATATTTACAAAAAAAAACTATAATTCTCAGAAGTGAACCAGTATCAGTATCACTAGTGTGTTATTAAGCCTGCTTGTGGTTAATGCAACAGATGAAGAAAGACTTTAGTTAAAATATCAGTTTTAAAAAACTGAATAAAAGGGCCACATATAAATATGCCGCAACAAGGATGTATTCCACTTAAAAAAAAAAAAAAAGATAATACACTCCTTACAGGATACTTGATATTTATATACATATGAGCCTGTTTGGAAAGTACCCTCATGGACCACCAATGGAAATAACAAGCCCTTTCGGAAGCCAAGCCATCTCAAAGGTCATGTATGTTCAGAGCCGCTGTCGCTATACGTGATGGAAAACTGCTCGGTATATCAAATCAAAGTCTTTTCTTCAGGCCTGCACAGGCGAATTTCCAAGGTGCCCTTTGAGATCGAGTAATCAGTGCAAGAGACTCCAGAAGAAACGGCTTCACTCGGAAAGCAGCAGGCGCAAATTATACATCGGCCGTCTCCCTGCTGTATTCACACATCTGCCGGGATTACACACACAGCTCTCCGAAGTGGCTCACCTCCGCTCTCCGTCTGGATTATGTGACGCTCGGGCCTGGTGAGAGCACTTGAACACAGGTACATACGGACTGATCTGAAAAAACTCAGAGATGGGTTTCAGAGATGCTGGCGAGTATCCCCTGATGGGAAAAATCTGCTGCAGTGTCCTTCACATATAGTGATTTGAGC